ATTGATATTTAGAACCTTGTCTTAAACACAAGAAGTTAATGAAAAAGATTGAGAATCGTGTGGTGGTTTGGGGTTTGGGAGTATTAGGAGAAGGAATATGACTCTATTGGGGAAGTGCATGTGGAGGTTTCCTATGGAGAAGGAGAAGCTATGGGCTAGAATAGTGGCAAGTATACATAGGCTGGAGCACAATGAATGGGACGTTGGAATCAGAGCTAGGACCACAAGCAATTCTCCTTAGAAAGCTATTCATGGCCTACTACTAGTTTTTCTCCCTAATATCATGTATGACTTGAATTCCGGTAATTCCATACAGTTTTGGGAACAAACCTGGGTGGGGAGCACCCCTCTAAATGATCATTTTCCATCTTTGTATGCTCTTTCTAATTTGAAAAATGAGTCGATCTCGTCTTTCACCACCCCGTCCTCTTCCACTTCTGGGATTGGGTGGAACTTGGGTCTAAGAAGGGATTCTAGAATTTGGACACCTACCCCCAATGGCTTTTTCTCTTATGCTTCGTTCTTCAAAGTCTTAAGTCAGTTCACCAATCCTACCCTTCCCCCTTTCCCTATTGGTGAGGTTTGTGCAGAGCTATACCCCCTAGGGTTGGTAGTTTTTGTTGGGAAGCCTATCTAGAAAGAATCAACACTAGTGATCTACTCCAAAAGAAGAGACCCAATACTTGCTTGTCACCTCAATGGTGTGTTCTGTGTAAAGCGGATGGGGAAACTGGTTTTCACTTACAGGTGTCTTGCCACTTCGCGAGGTCAATTTGGGATTGGGCTTTCTCCTTATTTAGATGCAGCTAGAATCCCCCATCAGACTTGCAGGGCCTTTTCTCCCCTTCATTTTTCAAGTGGCGGATAAAAAGGGGAAGGACAATGTGAAGAGGACTAAGGACTATAGTATATTGAACATTGTGGGAAGAAAGAAACTCCAGGATATTCTCAGAAACTCAGAGAGGAGCAGCAGATCTGAGGGCTATCATACATATTAGGGCGGTACAATGGCTGAAATCTTTGGAACTATTCACAGATTACACTGTGGATGACATGTTGAGGAAGTGGGGTGAAATTGYAARTTGCACGCARACCAAGTCAGTAATGAGTGTGGCTTGGACCCCCCACCTAGTGGATTCTTGAAATTAAACTTTGATGGGTGTAGTAGGGGAAACCTGGGACAATCAGGGATAGGGGGTGTTTTTAGAGATGAAAATGGGGTTATTTCTGCTATGTTCTCAGGCTCAATTGGAGTGGGTGACTCCTTTAGAGCTGAGATCTTTGCAGTTATGGAAGGAGTCTGGAAAGCTAAGGAATTGAACATCAATAAACTCATAATTGAAGGGGATTCAGAGGTGGTGATAGGGTGGCTGACTAAATATCAAAATGATTTATGGAAGTACAATAATGAGATGAGGAAATTCAAGTGGCTGGTGCGGGAGATGGAAGTTAAGAYAYGTTGGRTTAAAAGATCGGCTAATTCCCTAGCTGACGGTTTATTTAAACAAAGGACAGAAAGGGATTCATTGTTTTGGGCTAAGCTGTAACGTTAGTGTCTTTTTCTTTTTTCCTTTCTTGAAGTTCTTTGTGACTCTTGGAAGATAAGTGTGTTTATCTTCCACTTGTAAATTTTCTACTGATGAATTAATAAAAGTGTTATTGATAAAAAAAAAAGATTGAGAGTCAATGAGAGTTGTATCAACGATGCTTCAAAGTTTAAACTTTAACATTGATGGGAATAGGGATCAATGCTTCTTTTCGGGTGGCTGGTTGGAAAAGGCTAAGTGTAGAGAAAGTCAGCAAATCGCAGAGGACTTGAATGCCCACTCCCTTGTTTGTGAAGTGGGAGTGGGACTACTTGGTGTTGGTGGAGATAACTATTGAAATATCAGCTATAAATTAAAGTCATAGGACTTCATCAGAAGGGGAAACTTCGGCTGTTTGAAAGCTTTCTCATTTGGTTTCTTGCTTGTCTTCTTTACTAAAACAATTTGGTTGAAAATATTCTTTTACCCCGAATGTGCCATGGACAGGAAGCTCTATCTCAAACAGTGGAATTGGAATCACCTTGGTCACCGATTTTTTAGTCAGTACTACCATCCAGTTTGAACAGATGACATATTTTAAATTAAAAATTAAAAAAAATGGTCAAAAATCGTTGTCCGGATCAAATGGGTCAATAGTTTGATTGCCCAGGTCAACGAATCACTAACCAAGTCAATGGTTTTTAGCCAAAGAACAGATTAGGAGTGAAACGGAATTGATATTCAATGACGATTCAAAAACACTGTTCAAAACAGCCAAAGTAGGGATGATTTGTTTTCAACCTGTTGTTCACTCAACCAGCCAGACCAATTAACCCACCACCTAGTTACAATTCCGGTTCAGGTGAACCCCTAACTGTCCTAACCCACCGTTTTATAAAAATTGTTGACATGATCAATAACCCTTAATTCAAATGGCTGAAGTCGCCAATTTTATCAATTTTAATGATTTGATGTTTTTTGTACTTACTATTTTATATTTTCTTATTGTTTAATATTGTTTTGACATCGTGGTTGACCCAGAGAGTTGAACCACTGACCCATGACCCAGATGATCCAGGTTTTAACATTGGTTTTAATCTCAATGAGTTTGGTCCCCTCTGACTCCCTTAGTCTTCTTAGAAAGCTCTATCCTAGACTTCAAGAGCCTTTACTTAGAATCATAAAGACAGTCACTYTGGCTTTACACCCAAAACAGACGAACCAATCATTAAGACAGTCACTTTGGCTTTACACCCAAAACAGAAACATCAACCCCACAAAATTGCAAGCTCTCTATGGTATGGCCAGTGGGCTTTATCTGCACCCTGCTTTGTCCCCATCTATGCATCTCTATTAACCAAATACTGATCAAAACTCAAATCTTCCCTTCTCTAGTCTAGGAAATGTTTTATCTGTTCATCTCAGTAAAAGGTGTAAAGCAACAGATTGAGCGAATAACGCAATGCCACATGTCAAAGTGAACGATACAAATCGACAGCATGCTGTCATGCCACATTGATCAACCGAAAGATTACATCTGGCATTGGGTTTGTCATCCTGACAAAAATGCAAATTGCAAGATCAAATGGGCAATGGACTAAATCACACAATTCTGTTTGTGTTGGCTTTGCATAGACAGATGCACACATTTGATAGATACATTGAAATATTCTAGCGCCCACACAGGATTAGCATTTGACTACTTGTGTAATCCATTATCAATCTTGTGTTGAAAGGAACTTAACTTATTTCCCCAAGAACTCTAAAAGAAAACAAGATACCCCAATGATCTCCTGATCTTTTTTGAAGGCATCATTGGTTGACTAAACATTGAAGTTCAAAAAGGGTTCAAAGTATTCATAAGCAAAAGCTAGCTCTCATTGTCTTGTTTATGTTTTAGACAATGCTGTTAGGTGATTTAATATTTGTTGTTTTACACAGAAAACTGTTGTTTATATATTAAAATATATCTCTGGAGGATTCATTCTGAGTGTAAGATCTAAGATTCCTCGCTTTTTTAAAGTCACATGACATACCTTCAGTGTGAAATAAAGTAGTGGTTGCAGAGAGGTGTACATTACTTGGTAAAATGCATATATCTTCCTAGTCTACACAATGCTGTCTCCCACAAGGATAAATACTCAATTTAAAAAACAGTTGGGTGACTTCCTACAAGCTTCCTTTATGTTATTTAATTTCCTCAAATCTTGCATCATCACATAGTTCATAGTTCATACCATTGGTTCCATTTTGTGCACATTTATCAAAACCTAACTCACAGTTACCCATGTTGAATTTTGAAGTTATTGGGGGTTGGAGATGGGTCCCATAGTCTGCATAAAGAGTCCTCTTGGTCAGGTGATCCTATTTTTTCTTGTTAAACCCTCAAATTTACTCAGTTTCTTCAGTTGAGGTATTGACACTCCAGAAGATCCTAATTGTTTGATGGACAAGAAAATACAAGACCCCATGAGAAAAACAGACAAGTTGGGTTCTTGAGAGTTATGACAACCCAAAGACAGAATCCATCAAATGGACAAATTTTGTGGTTTATAGTGGGTCCAATATTGCACTGTGAGATTTGATAGGAAATTGCTCTCCTACAATGTAAGAGACATAAATAAATAATATCTTCCATGCATGTGATAAACGATAGAGGTCCAGTCACATGTGTGAGGTGTCCCCATAAGTTTGGCTTTTTTTTTTTAAATGATTAAGAGTGGTTAAGTGGAATTCTGGCTGCTTACAAGGGCATCTTCATTATTATCTATTATAGAAATCCAACTTGATGTGTTCTTATAATCTATCAAAAAAAAAAAAAAACAAAAAAATATTTGATGTGTTCTTGTATGGGATATTCCTGGGATTGTTGGATGCCCTGTATTAAGTTGAATTCAAACTAGAATGAATTCTTAACTCTAGAAAGAAAACGTCTCAGGCTTCAATAATTTTTCCCAGCTAAGCATTTGTACGAACACCTTAAATGTAAAATACAGAATATGAAAATTAAGAAGAATACAACTTGGCCGTGTGGGTCCAAAGCATCATAGAAATCCTACCCAGTTGCAGCTGAAAGGCTGAAAGCCTGAAACACAGTGCGGACATGGACACTGAAAAATGTATCAGGTTTTAACACCACCCAATAGGCCACCTTGTTTGAATCATGAATTGCAAGTTTGTTTTTTCTTCAAATTTTTTTTATTTACAATTCAGTAAGTTACGTACCTACCCACCACCACCACACACGAAAATAAAAAAAAAAAAGAAAAAACAAACATAAGAAACTTGGAAAAGACAAAAATGATACGAGAAAAAAGTTCTGTAATAAGATTGGCTTTTTCCAGCTAGAAGAGTGTCAGAGTGTCTGCTTCACATATGTGCTGCATTAATTAGAGACATTCAAGGGTTATCAGACATTAGGTGGAATGCCAAAATCTTATTGTATAAGACCAAACACATTGATTTTATGCTTGGTGACGACAAAATGAGAAGACCTGTTGAGGCTTGGTTGTTCTGAGTTCACATGCAGAAGAATACATGAAATTCACATGCCCAGCGATATGAATGGCGCAAGTATAGCATCAAAGATATCACATGGAGAAAAAATAAAAAAAGAAAAAAAAACAAAGGGGAAAGCAGGACAACCATCTGGGGCAGGATGGAACAAAAGAAGACAAATGGAACCTATGTATTTGCTTTTTAAATTTGTAGTCTTTACAAAGCATTCAGTGTGGCTAATGATACATCAAATCCAGATTCAGAACAATATCCTGCATCTTGATATCAAACATTCGTCGACTTGTATGGTAATCACTAATCAGAGAGCATGAGTTGCCTACTGAGCATCAAAATTGGCGCTTGAACCTTATCTGGAGTCTGGACCAGACATCTACATACGATTTCTATCAGTTCCCTTGACACAAACAACCAAAGAAACTTGGCTGTTCAACACTGGATTCATGAGGAAAGCAAGTTCGACTTACCCTCTTGATGATGGCCCACTTTGCAAATAGGAACTGCTCGTATGTAATGCCTCTTCAGGTAATTAGAAAGAACCAGTTATCTTCCAAATCTCAAGCACTTGTTATGTTTTGTGTCAGTTATAGCTGGGTTGGGAGGAAGATTTGGTTTTGCCTGTTGCGCAAGGGAGATTTTTTCCATTGCATTTATGAACTTTCGCAAGTGCTTGATATACTCAGGATATGTTTCTAGGTTGCAATGACCACCACCTTTGATCCATAGTGGGTCATATTTTTCCTTTGCGAGTTCCCACAAGCGCTTTCCATGAGACAAATCAACAATGTCATCATTTGTTCCCTGAAAAATATCCATTGAGAGCAATATATCATTACAGACAGCAAAAATGTTGAGATATACTTGCAAAGAGTTTATGTAAGCCAAGACAGATAACTGCACAAACAAAAAACTCGGCTTAAAGATACAGGGAACAATTGAACGATTTTGCAATATCAAGAGGACAACTATACTGTACAATCAACCTTTAGATGATTCTTAGGTTGGATGATATTGCCACCAAGATGTAAAGTTCTGATATCAAATGATCAAGATCCAGAAAATGTAAAACAAGCATTCCATTTGCAGGCTTTAGGAGTTATTAATAGGTTTATGTAGCAACTCTTGCTTCTCAGTAAAGGGGCTCTTAATCACCATGGTTGGTTGTATCTTGATAATTTTTCTTCAGTAATAGCTACTCCCATATAGATGATGTAATAGATTATTCAATTCTTAAGGCTCCCATTCAGCACTCACAAGTATCACCATAAGTTGCAACAAAGGAAATTCTCACTAATAATATCTTTACCATATAATATTGATACTAGCCTTGGCCTCAAAACAGGTCACCATTTCTTTAGTCCATCAAATTTCCTCTCAACTATATCCTCACTACCCTTACGCGTGCAAAATTGCATCTACAACTGAACTAGTCTAAAACTAGCCTTGATCTCCTAAAAGCAAAAGCTCTGAGAGCACCACATCCAGCCACACATCAGGAATATCTCCCGTACATATATGCTAAATTCATGGGCAAATGTTCCCAATGTGTCCACACAGTGTTGGCATTCAGGAGATCCTGTCTTGTCCAAAGCAAGTTCAATCACTTGACTTTTTTTGAATTTCAACTTTCAACATATTAAGAAGTTACTTTTTTTAATGAAAAATAAAGTATGTTGTATTAATGATGAAAAGGAGATAAACCCATTACAGTAAGTACAGTAGGAAACTGTAGAAGCAGAGAGAATAAACAGTATTTCAGATAATGTAATAATTACAAAAAGAGGGTTTCAGTTCAGAGATTGTAAGATTGGAAGCATAAGCCCAAGAAAATTTTTTTTGCCAAAATGTTTTGAAACAATTCATTAATTTGAGAGGATTTGTCATAAAAAACTCTGCAGTTCCTCTCCACCCACCAAAATATATCCATGGCTTGTTTCTGTTGCAAGACCAGACCTTCAAATGGCCTGTGGATTCATGTCCATCCACCGAAACATATCCATTTTTTTATTGTTAGTCTTGAGTTTCCAGTGATTTTTATTATAGTATGATGCACACTAACACCATACAATGTTGTGGATATTGTTGGAATAATGTTAAAATAACTTAGTTGCAGGTGTTAGGGCCTGTTTGGCTAATTAAAGTGCTTTTTTATTTCGTTTTTTTTATTTCTGTTATGTCTGTTATTGTACTCAGGGGCACAAGGGTTTTTTCCCTTGTTATTTCTGTCGCCCTATATATAGTAAAATAAACACTGGCGCCGCTAGTACTGTTACATTGCAAACCTTCTCAGTTCTCTCCTCTCTTCTCTTCTCTTCTCTTCTCTTCTCTTCTCTTCTCTTCTCTTCTCTTCTTCTTCTCTTCTCTTCTCTCCTCTTCCACTTATCTCTGGCCGGCTACACTGTCAAGATGGTATCAGAGCGGGAATGCTGATTAAAAGAGAGCAGATCGATCAAC